TTCATTTCTGTAGGACTTCCCAGGGTCTCATATAAGGAAATGTGAGTTGTAGACATCAAGGAGTAAGATGTCATATGTAACATTTTCCAAGCCTATAGGACCACAAGTCCGTTCACTGTGTTTTTTTCACTGGAAACAGCTTTTTTCTTTTTCTTCTTTTTTTTTTTTTTTTTTTTTTTTTGAGTTGGAGTCTCACTCCATCGCCCAGGCTGGAGTGCCGTGGCAACAGCTTTTAAAGTAATACATGGCAGATAATAAGTATTCTAAAGCACCGGATTATGTGCAGTGCACTGTGGGTCAATTTTTAAAAGTAAGAAAAGGCATTTTTTGCGATCAAGAAGTAGTCTGTTTTCTAGATGGGGCAATACATGTGTTTGGTATCAAATAATGATACAAGGAAACAATACAGAAGATATTACAAAGCGATAAATGGTCAATGGCCAAGAGAATAAGGTTAACATTTTTTGAATACAAAGGTGAGAAAAACATAAGCGGACTTTGAACAGCTATCATAATACTATGAAAGGGATTGGCAGTAGTGGGAAACTGCCAGGGGAGGAGGGGCACACCTCATCAATAAGGGTACCTGCATAATGAACATTTGTATACCTAGCCCCGAATTGTATCCCGCATCTTTAAGATAAAAAATTAAGTGAATTAAAATTTTTTTTAAAACACATTTTTTATGCACTCGTGTGCAAGGGACCAAAGATACAAAACACAAAGTGTGGCTGCTGTGTGAAAGAAGTGAGTGCCCAGGTGGGGAGACTCTGTGAGGTGGGCAGTGTGGTCCGAAGCATATTCGACCAACACTTCTTAAGATTAGGTAGGTGCTCATGCATCACCTGGACATCTGAGCAGAGTCCATTGATTTGGGGAGAGGGTCTAGATTCCGCATTTCTTTTTTAAATTTTTTTTTTTTTTTTTTGAGTTGGAGTCTCACTCTGTCGCCCAGACTGGTGCTCCCGGCCACCGCAGCCTCGATCTGCTGGGCTCCGGTGATCCTTCTGCCTCAGCCTTCCAAGTAGCTGGGACTACAGGTACGCACTACCATGCCCGGCTAATTTTTTTTCTTGTAGAGATGAGGGCTCACCAAGTTGCTCAGGTGGATCTCAAACCCACGGACTCAGGCAATCCACTCGCCTCGGCCTCCCAAAGTTCTAGATGACAGGCTGAGCCACCTAGCCCAGCCCAGATTCCGCATTTCTAATGAGCTCTCAAGCGATGCTGTGGCTGCTGGCCAAGGAGCACAAAGCAGACCTTGGCAGACATTTCCTATTAAGGTTCAGATCACAAATATTTTGGGCTTTGAGGACCACGCGATATATTACAGTGACCACTCAACTCTGCCCTTGCAATGCAAAGGTGAAACAAGGCAGTGGGTAAATGAGGGAGCATTTACTCTCTATGAACTCTCTATGGATTCTGAAAGTTGAACTTTATAGACTCTTCCATAATACAAGATAGTATTCTTCCGGGTTTTTCCCAAACATTAAAGACATAAAAACTGCCGGGCTTGGTGGTTCAGCCTGTAATCCCGTGCCTTGGGAGGTTGAGGTGAGTGGATTGCCTAAGCACGCGGGTTCGAGACCCGCCTGGGCAACTTGGCAAGACCTCATCGCTACCATAAATCAAAAAAATTTAGCCGGGCGTGGTAGCGTGCGCCTGTAGTTCCGGCTCCTTGGAAGGCTGAGGCGGAAGGATCGCCGGAGCCCAGCAGGTCGAGGCTGCGGTGGCCGGGAGCGGCCACTGCACTCCAGTCTGGGCGACAGAGTGAGACTCTGACTCAAAAAACAAGCAAACAAAAAAAACATAAAAACCATTCCTAGCTCTTGGGTCACGTGAAAATAAGCAGTGATTTGCAGGCTGCCTGCTGAGTAGAGGACAGGAGCTCTATTACTTAGTGGTTGGCATAGGCTTCCTTACAAAGTACATCTAACCAAAGAGATGGAGCTTCGTCTCTCTTAAACCACCATTGCACTTTTTCGTGCTTCACTTTACCTCTAGTGGTTGGTTTGTATCTTTCTTGCGAAAAGTAAAAGCACGGTAATGACAGTGAGACAGACACTGTCAGTTCGGAGTCCACCAGGCAGCGTTCTCTCCATGGCCCATGGTGTGCGGTGCGCTGCCGTCCATGAAAGAGGCTCAGCCAGCATGTGCTTTGCTGAACTCCATCTGCTGAAGAAGACTTTGGCTTGGCCTTAAGGAAGAGTTGCTTCCAGAAGGGATTCATGGAGAACTGAAGGAGAGGATTCCAAGGCAAAGAAAACATGGGCATGGAAGAGCAGGCGAGTTATACTTGAGGGCCACACAGGGGACCTTGCAAATATTTGACAGATACAGGATTCGTGTAGGAAAATGATAGAGAAATCACATCCGGGTCACATTACATGAAAAGCTGTAGTGACAGAGCTGAAGGTTGGGGAATGGTGGGTGTGGGCACTAGACAGATGAGAACATGGAACACATTGATCGCTCACTGGCGATGCGGAGGTCAATTAAGATGGTAAAGCCATGATTCGTGCTCACGGGTGAGGATCTGGACATGGCTTTGGAAAGAGAACAGAAAATAAGGGACTGGAAGATGGCCCCAGGCGGGAAAGTTCTCCAAGACTTCATGACAACACAAAAAACCACAAAGTGCCCCAGAACCCAGAAACACTGCCCTGATCAGTGGCCCCAAAACAATATGGGTCGCACTGCATGGAATGCTAGTTGGCTGGTTCTTGTGTTCTTTAATTCCCAAGTCATAACTGTTCTAAGTATTGCATATTTAATTTTTAGTACGGACTGGGCACAGTGGCTCAGCCTGTAATCCCAGCACTTTGGGAGGCCGAGGCAAGAGAATTGCCTCAGCCCAGTGGTTTGAGACCAGCCTGGGCAACTTGGAGAGACCTCATCTCTATAATAAATCAAAAATTAGCCGGGTGTGGTGGCGTGTGCCTGTTGTTCCAGCTACTTGGAAGGCTGAAGCGGAAGGATCATCTGAGTCCAGCAGGTCGAGGCTGTGGTGGCCGTGAGCAGCGTGCCACTGCATTCCAGTCTGGGCGACAGAGTGAGACTCCAATTAAAAAAAAAAAAACAATTTAGTATGGTTTCTGGGGCTAATACTCAAGAGTATAGCAAACGTTTTCTTTATTAGCTTTATTTTCAAATGAAATATAGACAGATACTTACATTATGCTACTCTAGACACAGAAAAAAATTAGACTTCAATGTCTTATTTTCACAGAAGGATGTGAAGTATAAAGAATTGCATAGGAGGTTAGACAGAGAAAAATCTCTAAATGCTACCTAAGAGCTAAATGGACAATATCATCCCAAAGACTTCAATCCTTTCTGTTGCAAGTGGCACATTTCTACATACTTATTTAAAAATAAGTCACTTCTAGGCCAGGTATGGAGGTATGTACATGTGTTCCCAGCTACTCAGGAGGCTGAGGCAGGAGGATCGCTTGAGCCAGGTGTTCAAATCCAGCCTGGGCAGCATAGCAAGACTTACTTTAAAAGATTTGGCGTGGTTTCAATTTTTCTTGGTAAAACATGAAGGCTTCGTAAAACATGAAACCTGCTGCTGAGAGTTTGGGGTGCTGGGGAATAGGAAAGGGAGGGGAACCTATGTAAACCTCTGGCAGCCTGCAGCCCCCCACACCACAGGCCTGGGTATTTGGGGAAGGAAAAGTACTGACCAGCAATAATGCTGTGTCTCTCCACACCATGGAGGCCAGGGTAGTCTGCAGGAAGCTTCAGAAATATCAGAGATGCCGGGCGCGGTGGCTCAAACCTATAATCCCAGCACTTTGGGAGGCTGAGGAGAGAGGATTGCCTGAGCCCGCGGGTTTGAGACCAGCCTGAGCAACATGGTGAGACCTTGTCTCTACAATAAATAAAAAAAATTAGCCGGGCATGGTAGCGCATGCCTATAGTTCTGGCTACTTGGAAGGCTGAGGTGGAAGGATCGCCAGAGCCCAGCAGGTCGAGGCTGGGGTGGCCGTGTGCCATTGCCCGTCAGACAGGGCGACGGTGTGAGACTCCGACTCAAGAAAAGTAGAAAACTTTGGGAATTGTCTAGTTTTCAGTTTCACGGTCTGAACTGCTGAGTTGCCTTCAGTAACACTGACACACACAGCTCTTTTTCACTACACAGGCACCTCACTGCGCAGCACCCAGCCTTCACCTCGGCTCTGTTCTTTTAAAATCACCCTTTCCAGCCGGGCTCGGTGGCTCAGCCCGTAATCCCGTGCCTTTGGGAGGCTGAGGTGAGTGGATTGCCAGAGCCCGCGGGTTCGAGACCCGCCTGGGCAGCGAGACCTCATCTCTACAATAAATCAAAAAATCAGCCGGGCGTGGTAGCGCGCACCTGTAGTTCCGGCTACTGGGAAGGCTGAGGCGGAAGGATCGCCGGAGCCCAGCGGGTCGAGGCTGCGGTGGCCGGGAGCGGCCACTGCACTCCGGTCTGGGCGACCGAGGGAGACTCCAACTCAAAACAAAACAAAACAAAAAACAGTGGACGCTCTACGGCACTACTAGGTGCCAGGCGCTGTTCTAATCACTCAGCGTTTACTAACTCACCTAATCCTCACACCAGCCCTATAACGTAGGCCCTACCTACTCTAATGCCCCATTTGACGGAGGGGGAGCCCAAGGCCGGAGAGTTCCGTCCAAATCAGTGGCAGGCTGCCCCGACAACCTGTGCTCCTCTCACCCTGAAAGCATCGATTCGGAAGCCCGTCTGCAAGGCCTGCCACCTCGCATCCGTGTCCCCGGGGCACGGGGCTGGCGGGGCCTCCGTCTTCCTCGGCTGGGAAATGCGGGTAGATCCCCACCCAGGGCGGGGTAGGACGGGGCGGGTTCCGGGAA